GTTCTCGTCAGCGTTCTCCTAGGGCCAATCGATCAGACGACAATCGCCGTGCTGGTCTTTCCTCCTCTCGTCACGGTTCTCATCGGAGCCTTCGATCAGAGGAGGATCGTCTTGCCAAGCGCCAAGCTCGGGCCGCTGGGTCTGACGCTGGCAAGCCAGGCGCTCATACTGCGTCCAACGCTGATGAAAGGAGTCTAGCTAGACAAAAGAATCAAGCCGATCGTCCTCCCAAGACCAATCGATCACATGAGGATCGTCTTGCCAAGGACCGAGCTCGAAGCGCTAGGTTTCACACTTCCAACCCAGGTGCTCACACTGCTTCCAACGGAGACGAAAGCAGGTCAGATAGACGGAAAAATCGAGCCAATCGCGATCGAGACGCCAAAGTACGGGCCAAGAATAGCGCTACTAAGTCTAGTGGAAACGGTGCTGGTAGTGACGGCGTGGTAGATGAAGTCGAGCGCCACGTTGTGGTCGATCCAATTAAGCAGAGAGTTGATCATACTGGTGCTGTCGAATTGAAGGCCATGGCTATCGAAGATGTGGCGAATGAACAGCTCAAGGAACAACAGGCTCAAATCGAAGCGCTCAAGCGACAAATGCAAAACATGGCGCAACCAAATCATGGTTCGGATCCTGGCACAGAAGAAGATAGTGATGTCGATGGTACCAATGCAGCTAACGAGCAGTATCCCAAGAAGCGTTGGAAATGTATTGCTGGCATCCTCTTCTTCCTTCTTGCAATCGGTGGAGGAGTCGCTGGATACATCCTGGGAACCTCCGAGAAGTCTCCCACCGAAGCTCTACAACTTCAAGTAGGGCCGACGAACCCTCCAACTACGGCAGGTGGCAATACTACTGCTATACAATTACCCAGTACTTCGCCTTCCAACAGTCCCACCGAGTTGCAAATCTACAGGCCACCAAGTCAAGAGGATTGCGAGGCCATTGCATCTGGCTCGACATTGTCAGACCAAGGCAGCTTCACTTCCAGAGAGTTTGTCATTGAGTTTGATGCAACCTTGAACTCTCAAATGGCAGAGGAAGATTGGGTAGGACCTCTCAAGGAGCAGCTTCAGTCGATTTTTCTTCCCGTCGTGGCCGGTTGCTCGACTCGTCGCTGGCTTCGTGAAACGAAGAGCAAGCAACACAGACAACTGCAATTGTTGCCAGACTTTGCTATTGCAAACGGCAAAATTGGAGACGCCATTGTAACGGAAGGGGGCTGCGAGGACGAGTCTGCTGCCG